CGATATTAGTTTTGTTTTCGGCAACTTTTTTTTCTAGTTCGGTGTGTTTTTGGTGTAAAGAATTTATTTGTTCGCTGTGTTGGTTTAGTTGGGTTTCTTGCTGCTCTAAATGGTCAGCCAAATTTGCCATTTGATTTTCGAAAGCATCCATTCGCTGGCGTTCGTTTTCCACTAGTTCGTTTAGGCTGTTAATTTTCTCCTCTTGCGAAAGTGAAGCATCTTGTAAAATTTCGATTGCCCTTACGCTATCATCCATTCTACTTTGGACTTCTTGGATTTGAGTTTGGGTCGCTTGTAAAGCAGTTTTTATCTGTTCGGTGGCAGTATTATTAGCGGCAATCGCTTCTTCTAGGGCTTGCTTTTGTAATTCTAACTCCGCTTTGGTTTCTTCGGTAGTATTAGCTAGTTCACTGGCTAATCTTTGCTGGGCGGCGGCTAATTCTAATTCGCGGTCTTTGGCTTCTTGGAGGCCAGTTTGTAAGTCGGTTATTTGTCCTTCGAGCAGGGACTGGGAATTTTGGAGAGCAGAAGTGGTTTCTTTAATGCCTTTAATTTTGTCGTCAACAATCCAATCTTTTCCTCTGTCTGCTACATGGCTAATTCCTCGTAAGGACTTGGAAAGTAATCCTCCTCCTGGGATTGATTTTAAAATTTCCTCTCCTGCTCCAAGGTAAAAACTGGAATTATTTTTAAAATGATTTCCAACTGCTTTTATTGTGTTTCAAATTCATTTCATGGCTATGGGTTTATTGGGTTGGGGTAAAAAGAGTAAAAGCTGTCGCGGCAATGGTTCATTCACCAGTTATCTAAATACTGATTGCGGGCTTGTTCGGGCGTTCAAATTTCGCGGGCTTCGGCAGTGGGATAAAAATAAAAATCCTTACTTTCCTCCATATCGTATTCCTCCGCGTATTCGTCCAGTCTAGCAATAAATTCCCTTACCGCTTCCGCTTGCTCGCTGGCAAAAGTAAAGCGTAAAACGGGTTTAGTCTGAAAGTGAGTATAAATGGCACTGTCACACTGACCGCCTTCTTTTCATACTCGTTCTTGTTCGAGTGGGACATGCGTAAATTCTGCGGTTTTACAAAGTAAGAGTAATTTGGTAATTAAAAACTCTTGAAAATCGTGGTCTAAATTTTTCTTTTTCAGTGGGGTTTTCAATAATTTAAAAACTGGTTTCTTTGGGTTTTTTTTGGCTAAATTTAGTAAAGATAGAGGGTTTAGAGTATGAGTTGCTAGGCGGTAGTTTTTTTTAATTAGGGTCGGTTTAGCACACTGCCCCACGGCTATTTTGTTAGTGCGATAGTAGTAAGAAGTTTGGTCGGTAGTGTAATCATAATGGCGAAAAATAGTTTGCTGGCTGTTTAGTTTTTGTCCGGTCAGTTGATCGATTTTACTTTTGCCAACCAGTTTTACCGGTCGCTGTTCGTATTGGTAAAGATTTTGGTAAAAGTGGTATGCCCGCTGGTGGTCGGTTAGTCCGTGCTCGCGGTATAAATTGCGAAGGTGAAAACTTTTGGCTAAATATTTCGCCATGTATTTTCCGGCCGCTTTTCTGTCTAAACTCCTACTTTCTACTCGCCCGTAAGTTCAGAGGCTATTTAAATAGGTGCGACAGTTTCAGCAGGTTTGGGTTTTTTGGCTCTCTAATACGCATTTATGAGAATAAGGGATAAACGGAGTAGTAAAAAGGTGTCAGTGCCAGTGGCCGTTTTTCTGTAATTCAAAAATTATCGCTCATTTTCAGTTACTCGGTTTAAAAATACGATTTATGTCCCGAATTAGTTGGGCGAAATGTTTTTTAATAGTCGCGAACTGGGTCGCGTCTTCCTGCGTTGGTGGCAAGTCAACTTTCAGGGGTTCCGCTTGCGGGTCGAATTGCTGGGCTCACTCTTTTAATCAGGCTTTATCTTTTAAAATTTCTCAGCATTGGTCGGTCGGGTTTCAATTAGTCGTTCAAGCCGCCAAATTTCCGGCCGTAGTGTTATAAGTGCCCGTTAAAAAAAGATACTGGTGCGGGCACTGCTCGGGTAAGCAAGAGCAGAAAAAATTGGCTTCAAAATTATCCGAAAAACGGGTATGAAGTTTTTTTTCTTTGGAGTTAAAAAACTGAAAAAACTGGCAATTTTGGGCGTCAGTCAGACAATCGTCTTTTAGGTCTATTTTGGGTGGGTTAGTTTTTTCGGCTAATGCGGAATTAAGTTGTCTTAAATAAAATGAACGAGCACTATTTTTAGTCAGTGAGACCACTATGCGGTTAGTGCTTTTTATGTGCTTACAACTAACATTCAAAGCACTAAACGAAGTATAGTCTTCCGCTAAAAAGGAATGTAAATCACTGCGGCTAACCTGTTTTACTTCCGCTAATTCAGTAAGGAATTTATTTAAGTTTGGTATATAATTCTGTTGTGTCGCGTTATTACCATTAAAAATAAAATATGAAGAAGGTTATGAAATAGTGGAAAAAACGATAAAAACTCTAAAAATTAAGTTTAGCCTTTTTAAATTTGAAAAATATAAGGACCAATTAGTAGTAAGTGAAGAAGCCTAGAAAATGATTTGGAAATTTACTAAAAATGCCGACCAAAGAGAAATTGTCACCGCTTACGATGAACTACGAGTTAGCAGAAAGCGATTTTTGCTAATCTTAGCAAAAATTTAAGCGAAACGAAAAGAAAATGAATA